GTGCGCACACTAATTCCATAGAGGGTACTTGGTCTGGAATCAAACGTCATTTACGTCGAAATACAAACCACGTAGATGGCGAATTTGATTCATATTTAGCGGAATATATGTGGCGAAAATGGCACAACCCACTCACTAAGTGATGAACATTATCGTGCCTTTTTAGCGGCAATCATAAAGATTTATCCGCCGGAAACGGCCGATAAAACGGAGTAAATTTTCTTAAAGACGGGGTTTAGGGAGGTTTTCCCCGACATAAATTTAAAAAAAAAAAAAAAACCTCAAAAGACTTTTTATTTTCCTGAAAAGGGTAAGTGAAAATATTTTTTCTTTTTAAAATTGCTTATTTTTAATATTTTCTTATTTTCTTTCATTGTGAGAAATTAGATTTTTTAAATTTATTAATGTGTAGAATTCTAATACGAGAGTATAGAACGTGGTTTAGGAATTTAAGAAACAGGGAAATGAAAGCTGTGTATGATGTTGATATTCAATAATAAATATTTTTCTTTTTTTATTAATGTAAAGCTTAAAAATTTTTAGAAAATAATGAAGATTGTTTACTTACTAGTATGTAAGAGATGGTGTCGTTACGTAGCAATAAGGTAATTTTGTAAAGATGATAAAGTTAAAATGTTCCGCAATATGAAATTAAAATTTTAAAAAAATCTGTTTTTATTTGTATAAATACTAAAGCTTAAAAATATTCACCCTGTATGAGAGACTGCGACGTTGTTTACAGTTTTAATAACTGTTACAATTCACTTACCGTATTATAGTAGTTTGAAATACAAAAAATTTAGTATACTTATTTCTACATCTGTAGAGAATACATTGTGACGTCACAATCTTAGTCCCACCCATTTATGAACGTCACATAGCTCTGCCTTCGCAACTTTGTTTATGCAATGTATTCTGAGATTTTACTGGCGGTGGGCTAAAGCACATTTTCACCAATTCATTTCCTCTCTAAGAAGCTTCATGCTTCTAGATTAGACTTTTGAATGTATGACAGATCGTTTTAACCACTTGCCTGATTATCCCGAGTTATCTCGGGTTCGTATATATTGCAGTTAATTATTACCCTGAGAAATCTCGGGCGAAGCAGAATTTGTTAGTACGATTTCTTTTATCACGGTTTTACTCGGTCTGGAGGAAATGAAAGGAAATATTCACTGGCATTCATATTGACTGGCAGTTTGCCAAATTTTGTTGGTTGCGCGGTTCTTTTGGAGGGACCGGTCGCGTGTTTCCCTATTGTATAGTATACGTTGGCTTGTGGATTAGGAATGTATAAAGAAGGATGCATGCATTGGGAAAAAAAGAAAATAATGTCGATGATGCAAGATAGCGAAAGCGATGATTTTTCAGATAGTGATTATGAAGAGGTGGGGAAGAAAAAAATAATCTAATCCAATGAGACAGTGTACTCTGTGTGCCCATGAAAGAGATTTCAGCGGTAAGCCAGTAAGAAAAGAGACCAGACACCAGTGTAGAACGTCAGGTATCACTCTGTGTTGTCCCTTGTTTCAAAAACAATCATACAAAAATTAATATTTAACTATTTTCGTTTGCCCGAGATAACTCGGGATAGTAAACTAATATTAAAAATAAATGCTTTTACACCTCCAAAAAATTAAAAATTCAACTTAAAACCTACATATTTTGATGTGTTTCGTTTTGTTGTATTTAATAATAAAATAAAAAAATGTGATGATTTTTTGCAATTTTTTTCAAAAAAAATTTGTAAGAGAAGCGGTTAAAATCCTATATTCTTAGTTTTGTATTTAAAAGAACATTTACGATTTTTTAATTTTCTGAATTAAATAAAGTAGTTACAAAATATGCTTATCAATACATTTTTAAGTATTGCTTATGTCGTATCTCATTTGACTCACATATTCAGGACAAACCAACAAATATTATCATGGCAAGAAGTATAAGTTTTGTGCCTGTCATTTGTCATGATCCTTCAGCACCATACAGGTGAAAATACAATTTCTATTCAATTCGGTCTCAGCTTTAAGAGAGAGAACCTCATGCAACAGCTCCACTTCTCACCCTCTATTTAATGTCCCCATGCCACAAAGGCAACATACAAGTACAATATCCATGCCTTCTTCGAGACTGGGGCCCGAGTCCTCTGGTATGATAGAGTTATTAACTACTATCCCACTGGATGGCTATTTTTATATATTGAAAAAATAATTTTCAACCCAGTCACAATTTAATACAACAATTTTAAAACAACCATTATAATATTTCGTTTAGTATTCTGCAACTCAAATTGTAGAAAATTTGAAAACTGATTAAAAATTTAGAAAAATATTTAATTGACCCTCCCTCCCCCACCACCCAAAAGAAAAAGGGGCTAATCTTTGGAATATGGTAACAGGTAGTTTGGCGACATTTTGGTAAGGAGACAAAAGGTTACTAGCTAGGACTTTAGCAGTGTACATGGATAAAGTCAAGAGTGTGCGCAATGCCATTTTTGTGGGTGCTACTTTGGTAGACGGTTGCACGGATTTTGGCGATTTTCCTTTGGTGAGTAATACAACTTATGGTAAACCCATTGCTGGATAAGTTATTTATGGTAACCGATACTTTGTTGTCATTTTATTTAAAAAATAGTGCGTTTTATTGTGCATAAATTCCGTGTTTAAAATATTATTTATGGCTTTTAAATATATAAAAATCAATTTAATTTTGCATTTTTATTTTGAAATAAAAATTTTATTGTTTATCATATTTTATGAAATTTTTATGTTGTGGATGATGTAATCAATGATGTCACCTTACTTTAAAAGTAATTCGTTTTAATATGTATAAATTTAATCTAATGTTTTAAACATTATTTATGGCTCTTAAATATTAAAATACAATTTAATTTTGCATTTTTTTAAAAATGATTTTATTATGTATGAATTTTTAAATAATTTTAATTCTAGCCGTGATGTAATAAGCTCTCTGATTGGTTATAGAATATTTGTGCATTAACGAGCTGTAATCAGCTCCCTCATTGGTTACTGACAATTTGTGCATTTCCGCGCCGTTTTAAAATTTAATTTATATCTTCGAATTCCTTCAAAGATGTTAGCTAAATTATGATTTTGATTTTTTATTGTGGGACTTATCAATAAACAACAGGTTAAACACTCAAAAAAATGTAAGTACATATTTTTCTTTTATTTTATAATTGTATACTTCAATTTTTGTTAAAAAAATTAATACACTATTTTCAGAAATTGCTGAGATAATTATTGTCCATATGTTTTTAATGTTAATTAATATTCTATATAACGTATTTTAAAGTATTTGAATTTAATAATATTCTAATTCTTTTAAATGTTGGTATGATGGTTTTTAATTCGATATTCAATTTCAGTAATATTTTAATCTAATTAAACGTTGACCCAATGTTTTTATAGCGGTGTTTTTATTCTCTTCTTTGCTATATGAAAGTAATAATAACCTTACTTTAGTATTTTATACTCATAGTAAATGTATTTATTTACACTTGCCTGCCATCTTAAAAAATGACATTTTCAACAAAAAATTAATCCATTACTTTTAACGATATTTATTTATTTATTTTTTAAGTTTCGAATACTTTACTATGCGTAAAAACAGCGTTTTTCAAGATGGCTGACGTTTGTAAAAATCGCGCCAACAATTCGGCCAACGTAAATCGCCAAAAATCCGTGCAACCGTCTACCAAAGTAGAACCTTTTTGTGGAATTCTGGGATGTTTTTTTAAGTGAAAATAGGTCGATGTGTACATGGATACCGTGTATGTGCAATTCTTAAAAACGCTGCAAGCAGTTTGCGATTCTGCACTTTCTGCCAATTTTGCACCTAATCTTCGTCATGATTAAGCATTTTTGTTCCATAAAAGTTCTAGTATAAACGTAATTCAGCTAGCAGATTGTTGGAAAAAATGTTGAGTAAAAAAAAAAAAACATGCCTTTACTTCGTGAAAACAAAATGGAGTCCAAAACAAAGCTAGCAAGTTGCAGTAGCAGGGTTGGTCGCCAAAAAATCACCAAGTTACCATAATCCGAAGATTAACCAAAAAAGAATTTCACTGACACTGAATGTTTTTAATATGTTTAAAACAATCATGCTTAAAACAATGATACTGAAAACAATGATCAGGTTATGTTATTTGGATTTAACAAAGCACCCATGGGTCTGCCTAAGGGGAAAGATGACATTCTGAAAAACTTTTTAAGACAAACTTGCTTTTTATCACATCAAACATGAGAAAGACCAAGAAGCACACCCATGCAGCTAGCCTATTTATATTCATTTGAACTTATGTTGATCTATGATCACTTATGTTGTTGTTTAAACCGTTGAGCCTAAAGCAATGATCAATTCCAGCACGATCGCATAGATATTGCACATGATCTTAGAACAGAAAACTATCTGGGGAAAGTGAAGAATCACCCACTACTTGGTGCGTTTTTAAGAATTGCACATACTCAGTATACATGTACACATCAACCTATTTTCACTTCAAAAAACATCATTCTTGGCAGTGAAAGACTATTCTTCATAAGCGAAAAGATAACTTCAGAATTTCAAATTTCACACTATAAAATAATAAAATATGTGCAAGAAAAATATAATAATACATATTTTAAAATAAAGGTACACATTTGAATATAAATTCAAAATAATAAATACAGGAGAAACACAACACTGTCAAAATGGTTCTGTAACACTTGCTCCTGATCTAAAAAGAGATCGGACTCCGTTTTAAAATGTAATGAGGCTTATTTCAATTCAGCACCACTACAGCTTTTTCCCAACTTCTAAATAGACTTTTTAAAAAAGCGGAAGTTTTAATTTGAGAAGGATACAAGAATTATGAAAGTCATGCATAATTATAACCGATTCGTTCATTGAATTTCACATCTACCAATGCAAAACTTTAAAATAAAATGCAAAGTAAAAAAACTGCGTAAATAGTACACGAAGAGTTATCAAATACATACCAAACAACTTATCAAATGCCGTTGAAGACCAGGGGAAAATATTAGCCATATTCAACTGCTCTCTTCAGATGTATCTCCTATAAACAATGTTTAAAAGAACTTCAGTACCACATATTCAGTATTTAACTTTGGTCCAACAACATCTCACTTTTTTCATTATTATACTTCATCATCAAGAACTGGTGCTTATCGAGCATCAAATACAATAAAAAAACAAAATATGATGTAGAAAGATAGAAAAACTGCATGGCAATTTCCATCAAATTTAGACATGAAATTATAGAAATAACCGAAGTAACAAAAAATTAAATAAAAGAATAGAAAATCTAATGACTAAGTTTAAATTAAAAACAAGCACGAGTACGCCACTAAAAAGAAAAATAAATATTTTCCTGTCATAACACGACATATTTATTACTTTTCATTAAATTCTTACTTCGGAATTCCGCTTAAATTATTCCCAGAATTTCTTTAAAGTATAGTAACACTCCGCAGAAAATAAAAAATAAAACCCATTAATCTAATCACAAGATCAGTATCAACAGCGATGACTCAATTCGGCCAGCAGGTATACCGAAAACAAGAGCAGTGACTTTTAAACAAGCACTTCTACTGTTGCTGTACACGGTGGCTATGTAAAAAAAATCTATGAGATAGCCTTAAATTTACTTCTGTCTCATAATCACATGATGTTTAAGCACGGGGAAAAAGTCTAGTTGGCGGCCATACTTAATGCAAATATTGATTGATGTTTTCTTATTGTTACCTGCATTATTATTCAGCACTTGTTATATTGTAACTATGTTTATTGTATTATGTATGTATAGCCTCTTATATATGCACATATTTTGTATTTTGTTTGACAGGACCAGTCAAATTTTAACAGTTTTAGTCAAATTTAACAGTCCAATTTTAACAGTTTGAAATAGTCAAATTATTCAAATTTATCCATTATTTATCGCCTTTTTATTCTTTTCCCCTTTTAAATTTTTCACTGAAGGAGTTACACCTCCTTCTTGTTTATTCTTTCAATTGCTGTATGTCTCTCATTCAGGATATTTGTCACCGGCTGGCTGGTAAAGCTTGCACCAGATGCTTCCCCCATTAACGGACTCTGTTTCACTACACCTTTTAAATTCTTATCTCCATATTAACTTGTTATTAATAATTTAATGTTAATATTTTGCTTAACTTTATTACCTTTTTATTATAATATAACGACTTACCTTAAAGTTATTTTTAAAAAAATTGTTATGTAAGTTGTTACTTAAATCTCTTCATACAGCTCAATTTTTTCTTTAATTTAGAAATTTTCTTTGTGTTAATGCTCACATAATTAGTAATTTTTTAATTTTGTTCGACAGGGGTAGGGCATTCGTCCTAGTTACCCAGGTGTATACACCATTCCCCCGTGAAACAGAGACAAATTGACAGTCTTCTGTTTTTATTTGAGTCTTCCAAGAGTTTCTAAAAATGTGTCAAATTTCCCCTTTCATAGAAATAAAATTAATTTCATTAAAATCTACGGAAAATTAGATGAATAATCCTTAATACCTAAATAGGGGAAGCAGGTTTTGCAGTTGAAAATAAATCAAAGGAATTCAAGATCTTGACTACTTTGGCTACAAGTGCACTGCTATTAAAAAAAGGGGGGCAGTTCTATGTCTCTCGTTCTGCTGGGACGATTGACGAAATTCAAATTGAGTTTTTCATATCTCGAAAACGCGACTTAGGATACATATTAGAGTTATATATAGCATTGTTCTAATATAAGTACTTTGACATAAAATCGGACTTTTTCTGAAATGGCATGCCAGATTTTTTTATTTTATTTGGATTCTACGACTCAAATTTTGCCTAAATACTAAGGGCCCTAGTCCGGACACAGTCGAGATAGAAGAACGGGTCGCTTTTTGCGATCTACTCTACAGAAAGCGAGTCTGGTATCATCGTCTCGATCATTACAGAGATCGACGCGTCGGAAATTTTTCCGTTAGCTGGACAGTTGCCGTTTAAGTTTCTGACTGTCGTTTTAGAGCTAAACTGAGGACGGCGGAGGTCACGGGGATTGTTTTTGAAAGTGTACGTAATAGATATTTTAATTTAAGATTTGTGAAAAACTCGAGTATTTCGCTATAGAAATAACGCATTTGATGCTGACTATTCTACATTATTTATTTATTCTACATTACCTTAATTAAATTTTAGTGAAATAATATATTTGGTGTTTTCCTATTTCACATATAAAGAAGGGGTGCATACTTTTAATTTAAAATTGTAATTTTTAAACTAAGGTATATATCAATGTACTTATAATTTATAAATTTTAAAATTTTATGTTTTAAATTATAATGTATTTCCCTCTACTTTTATTTGAATTTGTAGTTTTTAAAAATGTAATACATTAGACATGCATTAAAGAATATGCAGTATATAATTCAAACTATGCACATCTTAAATTCAACATTTAAATTAAATTGCTTTGAGTTAAAAAATTTACTTAAGTAGTTTTAACTGTACCGATATCAATGTCAATTTCCAATAGTTTCTAGAATCTCCTGTATAAAACCAGTTAAATTCCTGTATAATTTTCGGTTAAATTCTTGTCAATATTATAATGCAAGATTCATAATTAGTTATCAGATTTTTTAATGTGGTGTACTTTTAGATATTACATCAGTTTTGTGTATATTTATTCAGATCAAAAAAGTGCTTAGTTTTGGTTTTATGTAATTACGGCAAAGCCTCGAGAGCTATTTGCCTAAAGTGAAGGTTGCCTTCTTGGAGGACATTCTAAGGAAAACTAGCTCGTATACACGTAACACATGGGGAAAATCACGAAAACGTCCATGCGACCAGCCCATTCGCAGGATTCCAACCTTGGACAGAACTTCTAGTGTTCAGCGATTTTACCGGCCGCTGGTGGGATCGATTTAAAAAGGGTATAAATATATATGCACTGCAATTGCTTTCACTGCATCTGTTAATATATTTATACAGTTTTATATATATATATATTTAAAACAGATTGTGCCTTAAACTTCTGGAATGCTTCTGGAAGTTACCAATGATATATCTATGACAGATACTACATTGGTAATGACGCCCATGCATTCAGCCCGTTCGCGCGATTCGAACCTCGGACCGCACTACCAGCGTTCGGAGATTTTACCGCTCGGCCACTAGTGGGATCGACTTAAAAAGGGCATAAATAGGAATATGTACTGCAATTTCCTTTCACTGCATATATTAATTTATTTATAATACATTCATATATACATATAGTTATTTATTTAAAACAGGTTTTGTATGCCTTAATTTTTTATGCTTTTGGAAATTACGAGAAATATGTTAGTAATGACAGATTATTGGTTATCAGAGATATGTCGGTAATGCAACAAACCCGTTCGCAGTATTTGGACCTCGGACCCGAACTACCAGTGTTCAGCGATTTTACCACACGGTCACTGGTCGGATCGATTTAAAAGGGTTAAATAGGAATATGTATTGCAATTTCCTTTCACTCACTGCATATGGTAAAATAAATATATATGTGTGTGTGTTTGTGCAAGATAATAATAATGTTTATGATTTAACCTTATAGTTATTTAATTTTTTTTAATTTTTCTTCCTATTTATTTTTGTTAAAAGTTTGTTACATTTTTACTCACTTGCCTTATTGGCATTTACGAATACATAGTATATTTGTAGCTACGTGATAGGTATAATTCCTGATTAAATAAAATCATTGATATAATCATGGGTTGCTAAAAAATTAAATTTCTTTTTGATTCAAATTCATTAGGAATATTAAACACGCGTACGCCGGTGCTAATATTTCAATGATTTGAGTTATGACGTTGTTGCATAACCTTTTCAGACAAAATAATGTATTTTAATCATAAAATTCCTGTTAACAAATAGTTTACAAACATGTAACCTTTTAGAAAATTTTCCATTTTACAAAAGATCATACGTGAAATTATGTTTACGTTTCCTTACATACCTGAAGTTTTGAAAAGGCCATTTCTTTCTGCGTTTAAAATATCCATTAACGTTCCCCATTCTTCTTTCCATACTCTTTACTAAATCCAGCAGCGTATTTTTTCAAAAAAATTCACCATTTACTCGAACTCGATTTTTTTTTCTACCGCCATCCTCAGTAATAAGCACGTGCGAAACAGCCCCTTTGACAACAAACTACCCCTGTCCCTGAGCCTGGAGCAATGTAGAGGTGAGTTAAATTGGTTGCTATGCAATAAACGTCACTTCCGCACGGAATTTCCACTTCACTTTCCGCTGACGGAATTTGAAGGGGCTAGACTCGCTCTCCCTTCTGCTGTCGAGTAGAAAGAGAATCCCGACTGGTTTTCCGATATCGATCTCGACCGGTGTCCAGACTAGACCCCTAAATTTTGAAAAATTTGGTGCGAAACTTACGGAAAAATGCAAAAATTTATCTTGGCGCATTTTTTTTCAGTTTGCGCCAAGTTCACTTACTCAATTTTCTTAATTTATAGCAACCTATGTCCCTTTCCTTTTTTCCCTGTAAACGAACGGAAAAAAAGACATCTCTCATTGTTTTAAATAATTTTAACAAAGTGCATAAACCACATTTGGCGTTATTATCGCTTATAACGAATATGCCAAATTTCAAAACGCGCCAATATGTAAATTTACATACATCCTAGAAAATTTTAAATAAAATCTCTAATTTTGCAGGTATGCTTAGAAGATGATGGTAAAAATTTTATAGGTTATAATTAAAAATGTATTTCGAAAAATTTATAAAAATTGTTCAAAAATGCAAATTTAAAAAATAAATCATATAAAATGGGCGTATTTTATTTGTAATGAACCTGAATTTCGAATTTTGGAAGAAGGAATCAAGTAAGTTTAATAAAATAAACGGGGATATTAATAAATATATATCTAATTCAATTAACATTGAGAAGCTAAAATTTTGAGAGCTAATTTTTTAAAAATTACTCGTGCGATTTTTACAAAACTTGGAAGTTTGACATAATTTGAGTTGTAGAATCGAAATATGGAAAAAAACTGGCATGTCATTTCGGAAAACCCAGATTCTGTGTCAAAATATCTATATTAGAACACTGCTATATATAAATCTAATATATAGCCTAAGTCGTGCTTTCGAGACATGAAAAACGCAAGTTGGATTTCACCAATCGGCCCAATAGAACGGGAGATACCGACCTTTTTTTTTCTGCGCAGTGTATTTGAAAAGTGAGCTTTGAGATCTCCTAATGCATTGTCCCTAAAACACCCGTTTCTCCTAAATGAGCTCAACTTAGAATGATAATATAAATTTCCTTTTTCAGGCTATTATTTTTCTTCAGCCATTTCTATTAAAATATCTGGAAACAATAAGCAAAAGTACATTGGTGGCTCAATATATGAGTTTAATTTGTTCCTTGATCAGGCTCGTAAGCCGATCTAATACTGAAATAGTTTTTTCTTAGTGAAATATCAATAATTAATTCCATTTCCCTAAATAATCACCTCAATGTTTTTATTATCATGTTCTTAAAATAATAATAAAAAATTCATAAAAATAAATCAACTGTACTTTATATAAAA